GGTCCAGGCCAGGAGGTCAGCCTGTGGCCTGGGACCTGCCCCTGGGGGCCAGGAATGTCCTTGACGTGCAGCTGGGCTCTCAAGCATTGGAGACATCCTGAAGTGACCATGGAAACAATGAGAGTAGAACACAAAATCTGTAACAATAACCTGAAGGGAGTGAAGAAAGCGCTGTTAAGAAAGAAGGCCTGTTTTCTATTTCTCCAAAACAAGTCTTGGAAAATTCTGTTGCTTTTTTCTTTTCACCATTGATAAGAATACACCAAGAAATTGAGGAGCAACTTATCACCTGGGAGGGTGGAAATTGGCCAGGGAAAGTGGGAACGTGCAAGAGACATCTAGGGTTGTTTAGAGAAAATCAGGACCATCACCTCTTGTCTGTCTGGGGAGGGTGAGAGAAATGAACAGCGCCTCATTGGGTACCTGAAGTGGGTGTGTTCTACGCCATCTTCTGACCTCTCAGTCCCCTGTTGGCAGAAACCTGCTGTTTTTCTCTGAAAACACCAGTGATGTTGAGAAAAGGCTAAAAAATCTCATACTGTCATATATCCACGGCATGAATGCATAGGCCTCTTTGTCCTCCCGTTTTAATTCATGCCAGAACATGGGGATAGATACATGACCCTCAATCTCTATTCACTTTTAGGCTTATTCACTGGATCAAAACAAATTTGAGAGAGATAGAAATGTAATGTATCTTTAAAATAAATAATAATAATTAAATAATAATAATAAAAAAATATGTAAGGGAGTGAATTTCCAAAGTGGGGCTGGGGGGAGGAATGGCAGGCAACATTTGGGTTGTCAAATTCACCCTCATTATTAATTGACATAATGCATGCTGCCTCTTTGTCAAGTCATCCTGTAGCTGCAATAATTCATCAGAGAGCCAGGAAATGCACCAAGTGAAGATATCTTTCTTTAGAGCAAACTCTGACGTGTTTTATTCTCTTATCTCTTTGTTCTTTGCTGGCGCGTGCTGTAAGTGGGATTGTGGCTCCACTCCAGTGTTTTGCTGTTGATTTCACTCGGGTTGAGGTTATTCCCTGGGCAAGTTCCTTGCAATGTAGTGATGGCTTTTTGTTTTTCTCCTTAGGTGATGGCCATCGCCACTCTGGCCGCCTGCTATAACAACAAGCAGGTGTTCAGGGGCGTAGTGAAGATCCGGAAGGGACAAGCCGTCACTCTGATGATGGACGCCACAAACATACAGGCTGTCAAAGCCATCATGTACCAGTATGTGGAAGAGGTAGGTTGAGCAGCTTGCTTCGAGTCATTTCTGGCTGCTGCTGTTCTTGTTCTTGGTGGGAAATGGGCAGTCCCTTGCAGACCTGTGAATCTGTTAATCCCTTCGTTAGGTCTCTATTAGTCCATCACCAGGGCATGGCGATGCCTGACGTGGTTCTGGCCTGGACCAAACGAGGTGCTTGACATTATTTAAATATACCCTCGGTCTGTGCCTGTGTTGGGAGACAGAGACCAAGGTCTTGTCTTAATTCTGGTCAAGAGCAAGATGAGTCAGTTTACAGAGTGTGAAGGCTTCCTCTCTCTGAGTAGTCAAGAGGACTGGTTCTTCTGAACAGGTTTCATCATCTCCCCACAGACAGCTCCATGGTGAACGCTCTTGTTTACACCGTGTCCATAGTTGCAGCAGGTGTGATGCAGTTTGTGTTTCCACTTCATGGGCAGCAGTAAATGAGGGCAGCTCGTCTCAGGTGGTTAAGCAGTGGGACTCCTGCCTTTGGGGTGCTGTGGATGGAAAAAGTTTACGTGAAAGGGCAGCTGGTGGGTGGATTTGTAGGGGCAAAAAATATATTCAGCGAGGGTTGTTGCCAGCAGTGAGTGAGGTTTGCTGGGCCAGACCTGCTTGCCCCAGCACCACCACTTGCAGTCGATGGATTGTGTCTGAGGCCCTGCGGCCCATCTCCCATCATGGGGTGCCCTCAAGAGGCTGCCTGGCTTAATGCACTTCTCCAGGGAAGTAGGCCCTGGCCCCATGCAGCAGCTGGGCCTTAGAATCGTAGAATCACAGAGTCATTAAAGTTGGAAAAGCCCTCCAAGATCACCTGGTCCAACCACCACACCACCACCAATATCACCACTAAACCATGTCCCCAAGCACCACATCCAAGCTCTCCTTGAACACCCCCAGGGACGGTGACTCCACCACCTCCCTGGGCAACCCATCCCAACGCCTGACTGCTCTTTCTGAGCAGAAATGTCTCCTCATTTCCAACCTGAACCTCCCCTGGCACAACTTGAGGCCATTCCCTCTGGTCCTGTCACTGGTTACCTGTGAGAAGAGGCCGACCCCCAGCTCCCCACCCCTTCCTTTCAGGCAGTTGCAGAGAGCAATAAGGTCTGCCCTGAGCCTCCTCTTCTCCAGACGAAACACCCCCAGCTCCCTCAGCTGCTCCTCACAGGACTTGTGCTCCAGGCCCTTCACCAGCTTCGTAGCCCTGCTCTGGACACGCTCCAGGGCCTCGATGTCCTTGTAGCGAGGGGCCCAGAACTGAACACAGCACTCAAGATGCAGCCTCACCAGAGCAGAATTCAGGGGGATGATGGGCTCCTTTGTCCCTGCTGCTCCAGGGCAGTCCTCCACTGAGGTTACTCTTGGAGTTATGGAACTCGTTACTCTTCCTTCCCCTCCCCAGATCTACCAGAAGATCCCCAGCACCGACCCTTCCTCCAACAAGACGCAGCAGATCATCGCCTCCATCCGCACCATGAGCCTGCCCGGCGGCCCCATGGCCTCGCGCCACCACTACTCCCCCATCTACCTGTCGTGCGCCATGCTGCTGGCCGCCCTCAGCTGGCAGTACCTCAGCACCATCTCCAAGGCCGCCGAAGAGTACGTCCAGGCGGGCGAGAACTGAAGGGCGAGCAGGCAGTGGGAGAGAAGAGATGGTCGGCGGACGGGCAGCAGAGGCGGGAGGCTCCTTGTCCCCTGCTGGTGGGGACAGCCGGGTGCCACCAGGTGCCACCGGGCCCGTGGGCGGTGACGAGGACGAGACACTGGTGGCCTGGAGCCCCCAGGGGGGACAGCATGGCATCGCCAGGCTCCGCTCCTCACCTCTTGCTGCCTGCGTGGCTGGTTGCAAGCACCGATCGGAGTCTTATTGTTTGGGGTTGAATTTGGATTTTGCTTTTTCCCCTCCTTTCTCTTTGGACGGTTTACCTGATTACTACCATTTTGTTCTTTCTTTTTTTTTTTTTTTTTTTTTTTTTGTTAGGATGGTTGAAATAGAAACTCCAGTTGCCTCTTTTCTTGCTTGAGATCTGAGACCCCTTTCCAGCTCGGAGCCGCGGGACGGGAGCCTTTTTTTTGGGTTTGGCCTCCTTTTCTTGCACAGCCCCTTTTCCCCATGTGGAGGGCTCTAGCTTCAGCCAGGAGGCACTGCAGAAAGCTCTGGCCATCTTCTGGCCACCAGCCCGGGCTGGTTGCCCTCCTAGCACCTGGAACCAGGGGCAGTCTTCACCTTTCTGTCGTATTTGAGGAGGCTGCTAGGCTTGAAACGAGCCCTTTCCTTGTTCAATGTCGGAGGCGTGCTGCTCTGGCCACTGGCACCCAGCCCAAAGCCAGCTCTTGCAGCTCCTTTGTGCAGGTGGCACTGTGCATTGCAAAGTTTGGGGTTTTAGCAGCTGGGGAGGTGGTGAAAGGGAGGGGGGAGGAGTTGCCCTGGGCTAATAACCTTGAGCCCAAGGTGAGCATAGCTACCCACCTTTGCTGCATGCTCTGGGCTCTGCACTTTTGTAGCCCAGGGGGAGCCTGGGGTGGCCCAGGCGGGTTTTCCTGGCCCACTTGGCTGCAGCTCGGGGTGCTGCGAGTGAGCCTGACGTGCAAACTGGAAGAGCTTTCCACTGCTGCTGCTTCAAAACCCATCAGCCTGGACTTCAAGCGGGCTGCGTTCCCACGGGGAATGCCAGGGGTGGGAAGAGGAAACGACTTTCAAATCCTGTTTTCCTGGATTTTGGCTTTCAGTGACCCTAATCCCTCACTGCTGCTTTGACTGTGTGATGGGGGGGGGACAGCCTGGGGCAGGACAGAGTAAAGCTTACCCCTACCAGGGGCGCTTGGTGGCCTTTGCAAGGCCAAAACTGTGTGGCCAGACTGTCACTTGGAGGAAGCACCCCCTTCTCCACGGGTACCTATGTAGATAGTTTTAAGCTGTCGTTCAAAAAAAACTTGCGGTAGCTCCCTTTGTGCAGCTTCCTGTCTTGTTGACATTAAAGTTTTCTTTGGAAAAAAAAAAAAAAGAGTGTTTGAGAATTTCTTCCGCTGTTATTTCTCTTATTGTGGTAGTTCCCGTACTATTGCACAAGTTACATAAAGTGCAGATGCTTCCTTGCAGGGCATGACAGTAATACCCTATTTTATTACACCCTCATACCCTATTTTCTGGCCCAATCTGGGCCTGAAAACTGAATTGTAACCGAGGGGGGAGACAGCTAAAGCTCAGTATATTGACTTTTATACCTGTCCCTGTTGGGAAGAGGGGGAGTGGGGAAGCTGTGCCTATGTCGGGGACCTTCTCTGCTCTTCTGGGTTGGAGCTGGAGCCAGGCAGGAGGTAAGTTAGAGCCCTAGAGCATGTTGCAGGCAGGGGGACTACAAACAGCCCTTCCAGGGGCACTGCTGCCCTCTAGAAACCTCAGAAAGTCAAGACCAGTCTAGTCCAGCACCCCCTGGGCTGTTGCTGTGCTTGCCAGTGCCTAAAAACATCCCTGTTACCCCAGCCCTGCACCCCTGGCTTCCTTCTGGTCCCTGGTGGAGCATCCTCTGTGTCACCAGGACTTGGCACTGCTCAGGGGCCAGTGCAGGTCCCAGGCAGTGGCTGCAGCCCCCCTGCCACCAATATGGCCAGAGAATGGGGTGGGGACAGCTTGCACTTGTACAAAAAGGCCTCGCCTGCCTTTCACAGCAGCAAAGCAACAGGAAAAGAGCTCAGGATGGTTTTAGCTCCTGAAGGAGAAGTCAACAAGGGGCAGGAGACGAGATATTGGAGAAATCGTTTATTGGCACGGTTGTTTCATTCACACACACCAAAGCTGTCTCACTGGTTCAGGATGCAGAGGTAAGGGGCTATTTTACAGTACAAGGGAGAGCCTGCTTCACTTATTTCAGCCCTGTAGCATTAGCTCAGCAATATACTTTGTGCTCTAAAAGAAAATAAAAAGCTCTTTCACTATATTAGTGTTGGCAAATCGCATGATTCCTCCTACACTGCTATTACACTTGCCCCAATAACAAAAATAAGATTTTTTTTTTTAACTTCCTTGCCACCTGTGGCTCAAAGAAAGCTTCAGTTGCGTGCAAGTTTGCCAGATACCTCCAAGCATCTGCATGAGCTCCCTGTGGCAGACCTGGAGAACATCACCTGCAGTCCCAAAATACAACACCAGAGAGACCAAGGCATGGCCTGAGCTGCGTAGCCCTAGCCAAAAGCAGTTAGCCCTTCCCAGTGTGCTCCTGAATGCTGCAGGACATTTGAACAAAGCTCACGGAGCTCCAGCCAGGCCTTTCCCTAGGATCAATAACCCCAGATTACAGCAGAAAAAAAAATAATAAAAAAAATAATAAAAAACAACAGCAGCTGAGGAACGAGTGGTTTAAAAAGCAGCCGAAATAATGGAGCAGAGCAAGCGATGCAGAAAGGACGTGTCACAGGCAGAAGGGGCTGTAGGCAGCCCCACGTCAAGTTCATCAGTATTTTGTCGCTAACAGGACTACGTTTAGCCAATTCCACAAGGCACACACTCCCTCGCCTACCCTGCTACCAGTCAGACCGCCCCAGCCCTGGGTGCACAAGCCATGCCTGGATTTGCCAGCAGCCTCCGTCTCTGCTGCCCCACCAAATTCCTGCTCCCAACACAAAGCTACTGCTTCCCTCCCTTCCCAGTAACAAACTGGGCTGGAAGGGGTCTGGGCTAGCCAAAAAACAGCACAAAGAGGCCAGCAAGCCCCCCAGCAGTCCTTTTGAGAGGGGAGTGCCCCCAGCTGCGACCCACCAGGAGCAGGGGGCTTGCAGACGGCAGCTGGCACCAGTACAGGGCCTGCCACCTCCGGCTCCATCATACAACTAAAAAATAAAAATTGAAAAAACAAAAAAAAAAAAGATAAAAAGCTTTAATAAAGTAACTTCAACTATCGTCTCTTAGAGAGGGGGCTCTGCGCCCAACCCGCTATCGGTTAAAAGCATCGGGGACTCGGGATTATTTGTGGTTTGATCAACTCAGCAGTGATGCACGAGGTTGGTTACATCCTCTTCCAGTATTGCTCCGTCCGGGGGATGCCGGCCACGATTTCGGACTCGATGCCGCAGTGGTCCTCACCTCGGAGGATTTTGAAGAAGCCTGGAAGGACACCAGGGGCACGTCAGTCCTCCCACCAAACCGAGTGCCCAAGGAGACCAGGGAACAGGGGGGCAGCCTCCCCCCGACACCGATAGCGTTGTGCTCCTTACCGTTATCCCCCCAGTCGGTGTTCCACGAGTTGGCAGCCAGCCAGTAGGGGGTCCCGTTTTCGACCCCCCAGCCCAAGATCCGGATTGCATGGCCTCCGACCTGCTCGCCGGACACGTGCTGGTACACGCCTGCAAGGCAGCACCCCGAAACGTCAATGGCTTTTCCCCCCTCAGAGTGCTACCAGCTTCCAAATTATTCGATACGAAAACCCAGAGACCGGCTGAGAAAGGTGTTTTGGTGATTTTTGTTCTGGGGTTTTCCCTTTTTGGTTAAATGAACTCAAACCTGAAGCTAAAATAGAGAGATGGCGTTGAGAAGGAGGCACTTGGCAAGAGGCCCAGAGGCAGCGCAGCCCCGTGCAAGGAATTGGGGTCCATCTGCCAGGATTTTACCTAAAATCCTAGCTCCGATGCTGTTTTGGGAGTTCCTTCTTGGGGCTTCCCTTTGAACCATTCTTAAAAACCTATTCCCCTTGCTTCAAACCAATGGATAAAGCAGATGTTACCTGCTGGTGTTCTCACAACACCAAATACTCAAACACAAACCCAAGATCTCCCTTCATGCTTGGGCACAGGGACAAGGGCCACGCAAGGACAGACCCTATGGGTGAGGTAGGGACCAGCCTCGGTGCCGATGCTCACCAGACTTGTACATCAGGAAGTCCTCGTAGACGATAAAGGCTCCTTCCACCGGTCCGTTCTTGTAGATCTCAGCCATGATTTCCTTCTCGCTGTGAGGGACGCCGTAGGACGTGATGCCTAGAGAGGTGGAAGAAGTCCTACCATCAGCCCAGCCTTGTTGGGCCCACCAGACCTTGAAATGGCTGCGCTATGAGTGCTCAGTGTGCCTCTTCTCCACTTAAAGGTTGAATTCAAACCCTGGAGGCACAGGCACAGCCCAGCAGGGGATATGGTCTCCAACCATCCCTCTTCCCTTGGCTTAATCCAAGGGTCCCACTCTGTACCCAAAGACCTATACCAGACAGCTTCTGTGGAAAGGGAAGTTCTCCCCTTCTCCAGATTCACTTCAAAAAGAAAAATTACTCAATGCCAAGACAAATCTGCAAGAAGCAGCCAGACAACCGTCTACGTAGAGTCCCAGCTGCCACCAGGAGGGAGGAAGGAAGCAGATGTGAGGCCAGACTCAGCACCATGCTCTTCAGCCCAGGTGGTTACCTCCTGCACCCACATTACCACAACCAAGAGGAGCCAGATCACCTCCCCCATCTCAATTAACACAAACGAGCTCATCAGAGAGGCTCACGAGCTCCAGGAACCACCCATCCCGAGGACATTGGCCATAAAACTGCTTGGGAAGAGGTCTCATCCCACCCACCCCACGGAGCTCCTGCCGGGAGGCCACCTCCTTACCATAGTGCTTGTCCTCCTTGTACGAGGGTGAGTAGCCAGGCTCGCAGTGCCGGCTGCACCTGGGGGTTTCTCCTCCCTCCCCGGTGCACGGTGGCCGGGAGCCGTTGACGTGGTGCTCACAGGGTGGAATGGAGTAGGGACGGCAGCCTGGAAGGGCAGAGGTGGCATGAGCTGGCTGTCCCCGAGCACCCCCCAACCCCAGCAACCAAGCTGGAGAAGGCACCAGATACCCTGAGCACAAATTATGATCCTTTTAACCCCAAAACCCCACAGATCAGTGGGGTGAGGGCAAGAGGAGGTCGTCACCAGATGAGCAATCGCTGCAGGTTTCCCTTTGGACCTGCTCACCACCACAGGTGAGGGGAAAGATGGAATCCTGAACCACCTTATGGCCCTGCTAGGAGGTGGTGGCCAAGGTTTCCAGTTGCTTTTGGAAGGGGAAACATGTCAGGAAGACTCCTGCCCCCACCCAAAATGCATTAAAACTGGTCCAAATCCAACAAAAACATCCACAGACTGATTCATACATGCCCTGACCCCAGTTTTGTGGGGTGGTAAGTGTGACTACTGTGCCATATGGGTCTCTTGTCCCACACGGGTGACCAGGAGGAGCCATGGGGACAGGAGCAGTCAGTGGGGCTAGCAGAGGTGCTCAAGGCCATGGTACAGCCATGAGGACACAGACTAGTATGTCCTGAAGGGCACGGCCCCATAACCGAGTGGGGATGTTCCTCTTGGCCTTCACAAGGCTATGAGCCAGGACTTACCCACGTGGGAGTCGTAGAGGCCCCCAGACACGAGGCCCCGCTCTGTCCAGTACCTCCACGCACCAGAGGGGTAACCACCATTGCACCTGTGGAAAGAGGAAGAAATCTGAGCTCCAGCCATGCTGAGGAAGCTGAAGTTGATCCTTTAAAGCCTCAGGGCAAGAAGGAGCTAAGAGCAGCCATGTCTCCAAACCCCAATGCAGTGGGGTCTCCTCGCAAGGTCCCTGCTCAGCTTCTGCCCCCCCATAGCCACACAGCTCAGACCAAACTTTCAGCCTTGCTCCCAAAGACTGCAAAAGCCACAGGTAAAATACTTTTGCCAAAAAACAAGGCTTTGGGGCTACTGGAAGACCCTCCCTTTGGCCAGCTACCGGTGGAGGCAGGACGCGGCCCAGAGGGGCCTTCAGGCCATGCAGTCACCTCCATGTTCCCACCTAACTCTACCATCTACAGCACAAGCCACCAGTGGGGCTTTGTGCTGAGGGGAAAGACTAAAAAAACAAGACTGAAACACTACCAGCACCTTCGGGCTGTGTCCCCGCTCCTCCCACCCCTCCCTTAAAGCCAAAAAATGCCCCCAGCAGCTCACCCCATGCCGCATTCGAAGCCGCAGCACGACAGCAAGTCCTCCGCCGACACCTCCACGCTCACCTTGGCGTTTGTGTGGACACAGATCCTGTCCGAAATGGCTTCTACAGCACCAAAGGCCTGTGGGCAACCCCCCCCAAAAAAAAATAAATACAAGGCAAGGTGGTTAGGGTAGGCCATGGGAGAGAAACCAGGCAGATTTCTCCTCCTGGGATGGAGTTGAGAGCACCAAGCTCAAGCCTGGCTGGGAAAAACCCACTTAAAGTGCTAAGACATCGCAGAATCCCCCGTGCCCCCCAGTTTTAAAGTTCAGGAGCAAACTCAGCAGCCTGCTTGCTGTCCGACAAACCCTGTATTGTCACGACCTGAAACCCGTGCTCTTACCCAGCAAGAGCCACAGGAGCCCTGGTCTCTTATCTCGCTGATGGTGGGACAGTTGGGCCACTGCTTCCGCGAGTCGAAGTTATCTGGCAAGTCCAGATCCGCAGCGAAATCTACCCTGCAAGGGAGAAAGAGGGAAGTCCTGTTATAGGAACCCCAGTGAAGCAGGACTGGGGGCAGTGCCCTCTTCAGCCAGCTCAGGAGGTGACCAGGAGGAGGGCTGCTCCCATTATTTGACTGCTGAAGGAGAATGAACACTCCTCAAGTCCTCGGACCAGGCCAGCAGCTCCTCCAGTGCTCTGAGTTTCGAGGCTTACAACTTACGAGATTGCTCAAGGAGCTGGCACAACACGGGGTAGAAGTTCCCCACAACACTAACCCCATGCAAAATGTCCACCAGATACCAAAAAGTGAGCTTCACCCAGGGGAACCCCGCTCACAGTCTGCCAGGAAAGACCCCCCCACCCACTGCAGATGCACCAGGAGCTTTTGGGGGCCCTCATCTTCTTCCCCCAGCACTCACCTCTCGGGGAGCTTGGGCCCACCTAGGAAAGTGCCACAGAGCTTCTTCACGTAGCTCATGTCAGTGTTGTGGAAGTTGTGTCCTGCCTGGGGAGAGACAAGGAGAGGTGGCATGGGACCCTCCACAGCCACCAAGGGCACCAGCCTGGTGCTCCAGATCTTCCTCCTGGTCTACAAGCTCATCACCAGTTACCACCACAGCAGGAATCCGTAATGGCACCAGCTCAAGGGAGAAGCCAACTGGGACCAAAGCTGGTTTGATGCAACCACAGCAACTAGACACCCAAACCACAGCCACCGAGCCCCATGGAGATCATCCCTTTGTCCTCCCCAAACACCGTCCCGGTACTCACCTTCCAGGTGGTGTTGAGCTTGTTGATGTGGTTGACCAGGTCGCTGGAGAGCGGCGGGTAGTAGGGAATGCTGCGGGCATTGGCCAAGGCCACCAGGACACACAGGATGGACACGGACAGGCCACATCTTGGCTACGGCACGGGTCGCTCCACCTGCAGCCAGATTTGGGAATCGCTGAAACCTCCCCAGCGTGGGATCTGACCTCAACAGTGCCCGCACAAAGCCCCTGAAGACCCCAATTTACCCCAAAGATGAGAAGACACAGGAGCACACTAATAACCCCCCCCTGCCACCCAGAAGCCCGTTGGACAAGGCACCCCTGCTCGGTCAGTCTGCTGTGGGATTAGCAGCAGCAGGAAAAGTCCCTCTTGAAGCAGATCCAAGGGATTGAGTTTGGAGGGCATTAAGAGCTGTGTTTGCTTCCATAAAACCAAAGGCTAAGGAATAAATGATCACACTGCAGGGCTGCAGCCCCAGGAAACTCGCCAGCCCCTTCCTTGCTGCAGCACTATTTGAAGATGCCACTGCAGAGCACATTTTGGGGCTTTATAGCCTCATTTTGGCCAGCTCGTGGCCCTGAGGACCCTAAATGTGCTCACAGCACAGGGCGGGGAGCTCAAGCTCACGAAGAGGTGACCCGTGAGCAGCTCCCATCCCACTGGGGACTTCTCAGGAGGCTTTGAGAAGCGGCAGCGTGCCAGGGAAGTCCCAGTTTGGGGAACGGAGACACGAGGGGGAAATACAGGGACACGGCAAGGCCTCAACACACCCACCCCATGCCAGAGCACAAGCTGCTTCCACATCCCCACACCTGACGTGGGCACACCACGAGCTGCTCAACCTCTGCAAAAACACTCAGGCGCCCTCCTCCACCAAAACCCCTCTCCAAACCCCCCTCCAGCAGCCCTAAAACCCTCAGATACTCACTGCAGCGCTGAGCAGCAGAGGCTGAGGCTCTAATTCCTACTCATCTCAGCCAGCCGGGTGCGTAATCACCTTTGCAAGCCCAGGCTTAAACCCTTGTGGCCAAACACGCCGGAGCGGCCCCACAGCTCCCGTCGGCGGCTCTGCGAGCTATGGGGACACACGCGCACACATCTCCAGCCTGCCTCCACCCACTCGCAGCCAAGTTTAGCCTTTCCAGGGAAGAAAGCCCAGCAGCAGTGTCCTACTTTCTGCCAGCAGCAAGCCCTGGCGCCTGCAAGCCTCCCCCTTTCATTTTTCTCCCCCATTCATCCACCTCATTGATTTTTTTTTCCCCCTTGGTGCTCAGCTCAAAAGCCGAGCTGAGTTTCAGCAATGCGTGGGGCCTCCTGCCCCCAAATCTCACCTTTTGGAGGTGTTCCCAGCCCAATCACATCGTCTGGCCTCTCTGGGAGGCCTTTTCTGCATCAAACGGGTCTAAATGGGACCCTGCCCGTGGGGTTGGAGAGTCACAGCACCCAAACATTGGTGGGCACGGCATGGATTTAACCCCCAGCACCTGGATAAAGCTGCAGCAGCCGGACCAGAGACAGATGAGTGGCACCCAGAGCATTTTTGTGCCCCAAGTGCCTGCTACAGCAGGATCAGAGGGGGCTCAAACCCTTCTGTGCCCCCAGGATGAGCCCAGTCCCCCCCAAGTTTACACCACCCCAGGTCAGGCAGCACAACAGCCTGGTTAATCCTCAGGTTTCAAGACCACACGGGCTGCACGCCTCCAGCTGCAGCCAACCAGGGACGGAGCTGAAAGGGGACACCGCCACTTGCAAGCTCGCTTACACCCCAAAATGTGGCTCGTGGCCAGGAGCAGCCTTGTCTCCTTGTGTGCAACCCAAACAACCTGCAGCCTGCCAGCCATTTCGGCAAACAGCCCCCTCGCCGAGCCTGCAAACGGGCTGAGAGTGTGATTTTTGGGGGGGAAAGACCGATGCTCTCGGCTGGATGACGCTATCCCAAGCTTTGCCGGAGGATTTGGGTGGAGAAGGAAGGGGAAAGCCTTGATCTCACGTGATTTCTTCCTCCCCACCCCCCCTCCCTTAGCTTTAACAAGCGCCTTGCGTGCGGTAAATCTTGGCTGCAGAGAGCGAATTTCCGCCGAGAGCGAGTCACGGGGGCAGCCTGCGGCCGCCAAAAACAAGCTGCTGCCTCCTGCCTTCGCCTTCTTTCCCCTCACCCCCTGAAAAGGCAGAGGAAGACAGCCCCCCCCGCAGCTCCGTCACCGCTCCCCAGCGCCGCTATCTCCCCTGCGCACCCGTGTCCCCTCCCCAGAGCTCTGCGGCCATTTCAGCCGCCGCCACCCCAAAAACGGCACCAAAACCCAAACTTGCGCAAGGGCAGCTGTGCCTGCGGATCTCTGCTTCCTCCTGCACGCTGCTCCAGCCAGATCTTTTCCCTTTCCAGCCCTGGTTTTGCCCCCAGAGGTCTCCAAAGGGGGTGTCCACCTGCTGCCCCTCCCGGCTTTGGCACCGTCCCCAAATGCGCCGGTTCTGCTCCTGTGCAGCTCCCCCAGGGGTGGTGCAGGCTAATTCAGCAGTAAAAGCCACGACTCACCCTGTTCACCGGGCTCTCAGTGCTGGAAACAAACAACACGGAAAGGCAAAGCTGGTTTGGGGGAGGGTCCCTACCACCAAATGTCCCTGTTCCTCGCCTGTGTGTGTGGAGGAACTGCCTGGTCTGTCCGAGCCCCCGAAAGCCCAAAAGGCAGAAGGAAATCCAGCCTGGCCTCAAGCACAGCCCAGTCCTTGCTCCTGCAGGACCCACAGCCTCGCAGCTTCAATATTGCCCTGGCAAAGGTTGTTGGACTTCTTGAGACTCCACCTGGGCGATTCTCCAGGGTACAGGAGGGTGTTTGGGGCGTGCAACGAGCCCCCCGAGCTGCTCCACCGCCTCCTGGGCTGCAGCAAGTCCCCTGCCTGAAAAAAAGCCAGAAAGCAGCTGCCTGCTGCAGAACTCCTGCAACTCAGCCATCTGGAGGCTGGAAAAGAAGAAATTTGGGCTGAGCGCAGCCCTCAGCCTCATGGAGAGGAGCTGCAGCGAGCGAGGGAGGAAAGCAGCCGCAGCGAGACGAGTGTCTGCAGAGGGGGGCAGAAGACACAGCCCAGCTGCTCTCCCCATCTCTCCTGATCAAATCTCGAAGGCAGAGGTGTTCCCCTGCTTGTTTTCCCACGGGCAGAGCTGCAAATATTCAGCCCGGAGCCGGGCAGGGTCACACAGAGGATGCTGAGCAAACACCTCCACCGCAGCGCCCCACCGCAAAGGTCTTCTCGCCCCCAAGATCTGCGCGTCAGTCCCATCTCGGCGGGCATTTCCCCGCCCTCCTGGCTCAGTCAGAACAGAAACCACACCAAAACAGGCTGCTGGAGCCAGCACCCACTTCGGGCAGCTCAGGCCCTGAGATAAGTCAGAGCCCTGAAGCACCTCGTCTGGCCCCGAGCCCTCCGGGCATCCAGGGTGGCACTCGAGCCCTTATCCAAGGGGGTGAGGAAGATAAAAGCTGGCCCACCCCTGCAGCTGTGATACCCCCCAGCCCTCGGGAGCAGGAGGTGCTGAGCAAAGCCCTCGTCATGTGCTTTCCTCCAGCCTTTTGCCCCAAATGAGCTTTGTCCTTTGTTCTGGAGCCACAACAAAGCCGAGGGTCGGGACACGGAGCTGGCCAGCCCAGCTGGGTGAGCTTGGTGGCCCTGGGGCAGGCACCAGCCCCGTGGCGTGGTGACTCCATTCCACCTATGACTGCGTTAGGAGAATTGGATTTGGTTTTCGGCCTTTTTTTGGGGGGGAAAAAAAAAATATATATATATATATATAATGCGTCAGCCGCTCATCCCCACACCCAGCCCTTCCCAGGAAAGCCGAGCTGCTGGCACAGGCTGGATACCTGGCCAAATGGGAAGGGCAGCTTGATGCAAGCAGCCACGCTCACCTCTCCATCCCAAAGCCATGGGATGGGCGAGGGTCCCCCTAAATGGCCACCCTCATCCCCATCCCAATCCTTGTCCCCATCCCCATCTCCGTCCCCATCCCCAGCCCCGTCCCCATTACCATCCCCGTCCCCGTCCCCATTTTCCGTCCCCATCCCCAGCCAGGCAAACATCGCAGGACATTCCCATCGCCCTTCAGCCAAAACCTCCTCACCTTCTGCTCCCCTGTTAATCAGGAAATCGGGGCGTCCTCCCCCTCCCTACCCCCCTGCCCTTCCCCTGCCCTTCCCCCTTGCGCCAGCATCCCTCCGGAGCCCCCAGCCCCAAAACCAAGCTGGAAAAACAAGCGCAGCTGCCAGCTCTGCCCCTGAATCCGCTGAAAACTCTCAGCACGGACCCCTAAAGCCCCCCAAAGCCTGAACCCGTCCCTTCCCCGTGTCCCCCCCCCCCCCGCCCAGGTCCTCACCGTCCCCTGTTGCGCTCCCGCTGCTCGCCCCGGCCCCGCTGCGCGAAGGGGCAGCTCCGGGCGGCTGAGTCACGGGCAGGCGGCTCCTTCTCTGCCCCTGCCCCTTTTGCCAGCCCCTGCCCCTTTCCCTGCCCCTTTTGCCAGCCCCTGCCCCTTTCCCTGCCCCTTTCCCTGCCCCTTTCCCCTTCCCTGCCCGCCCACTGCTGCTCCCCGCCTCCGCTCCCCCGTGCGCCCTTCCTGCAGGCTGCTCTCCTCCTCTTCCTCCTCCTCCTCCTGCTCCTCCTCTTTCTCCTCCTCCTCCTCCTCCTCCGGCCCTCCTCCACCCTGCCTCCAACCCATCTCCATCCCAGCCGTTTCTCACCCCCATCCTGCCCAATTCCCTCCTCCAACCTTCCCAGTTCCCTTCTGCAGCCTGCCTGCGACCTCTTCTCCTGCCTCCATCCCTTTCGCTTTCCTCCTCCGTCCTGCTTCCATCCAACCTGCTTCCCTCCTCCATCCCAACTCCATATCACCTCTATTCCACCTCCTTCCCATCCTCTTTTCACTGCCATCCCACCTCCATCCCATCTCCATCCCACCTCCATCCCACCTCCATCCTATCTCCATCCCACCTCCATCCAATCTCCACGTATAAAACCCACATATATACATTTTTCTCAGCCCTCTCTGGGAGAAAGTGGGGATACAACAAATTCCCCGCGAGCAGGAGCAGGGAGCAGATGCTCAGCCCTGCACGCACCACGGGAGGGATGCCACGAGCTTGGCAATAAACTGCAATACACCAACAACTTCTCCAATAAACACTGCACAAACACTGGGGCATGTCCTTAAGTGTGTTTATGCTTCGATACACTGTGGGCAAAGGCCCTTGGACCAGCAGCTTCCTTTCAATATAATCTTTAACCAGCAAAGCCAGCCTTGGCCGTGTTTTTCTCCGTGCTTTGGAAGTGAAAATCATCGCCAAAAAGCAAATAAATCCCTCGTGGCGTGCCCACGCTCAGACTCTGCCTAATGCAGCTATCCCTCATGGTGCCAGTCCTTGGTTGCTTTTGCAGATATTTCCTGGCTTATTTATTTTGCCTTGCTCTGGGGCCTTTGGGCTCTCCTTTTTGATCCTTCCAGAGCAGCCACTTGTTTTTTGGCAAATGCTTCGTTGTCTTTTTCAAGAACTGAAAGCGCAAAGTAGGGCTTTGCATGGGGAGCTGGCCTCTCCTCTGAGGAAGTGATGAAGTCGCCGTTCCTTTTTTTCAGTCCATTTGGGCAGCAGAAATGTCCATTTTTGAGGTGGGTTCTTTTGGTAAACGAAACTGAATCCAGCCCAGAAAGGTTCTCAATTAGAGATGCTTTCCAAGGAGCCTATAAATCCTTCATGTGCCCAAATCAGGCAGGGAAGAAAACATCATTATTATTATTATTATTATTATTATTATTATTATTATTATTATTATTATTATTATTTTGCTCTTGCAGGGCTTTTTAGAATATCAGAGAAAAAGATGTTTGCTCTGGTTGTGGCAAGCTTCAGCCTTTGGAGCAAAATCCACCACTACAGGAGCGAGATAAGGAAACCAGCAGGAGGTCTTGGGCAACCTGCTCTTATCTCTCAGATCACCTGCCTCAACATCACGTGGCAGCGAGCTGCTAAGGAGCTGCCTCAGGATCCACAGGGCTAGATTCAGAAAGAGTTTCACTGAAAGAGGAGAAAGAAAGAGAGAAAGAAAGAGAGAAAGAGAAAGAGAGAGAGAGAGAGAGAGAGAGAGAGAAAGAAAGAGAAAGAAAGAAAGAAAGAAAGAAAGAAAGAAAGAAAGAAAGAAAGAAAGAAAGAAAGAAAGAAAGAAAGAAGAAAGAAAGAAAAGAAAGAAAGAAAGAAAGAAAGAAAGAAAGAAAGAAAGAAAGAAAGAAAGAAAGAAAGAAAGAAAGAAAGAAAGAAGGAAGGCATATTTTTTTTTTTGCATTTCTAGGGTTTCAAACCATTATCACACAGGACCAGGGGATGGAATTCAGATTTTGTTAACCAAAAACCTTGGCTTGGGATAAGAGCAAAGTGTGCTTCTCCATGAGGGATCCTTCTGGGTGTGTGCACCCACATTTTTTCTTAATTCACCCTAATAGCCACTTTTAATCACTAACATTTGACTTCTGAAACAGCACTATAGTATATTCTTGTAAGATCTTTAATATTCCTGCCCTCACCTCGTTCCCTCACATTGCTCTCCTTGACTTGGTATCGCTGCAGCCCTCTTCGAGCATCTTCTGCTGCTGGTTCACCCTCCAAAGCTGACATTGCCCAGCTCAGCACCAGCTTTCCTCTTCCCATCACGGGGCGATGAAGCACCCGGTCTAAAAATGTTGCAGATTACCCAACCCGAGGCCTTTGCTGCTTCAACAGTAATGAAATAGAAACGTATTTTTGCCTTTGTGCCAGGCTTTATCACTTTCAATTGAGAATTAGCCAGCCTACATCTGTCCCCTGTGCCATTTTAGACAACGGATCTGTGTTTTTCATTTCTGAAAGGACAGGGAAGCCCTAACCCTGCCTGAGAAGTGCTGGTTTTAGGGGCTGGACATGGATGCAGCTCTCACCTCGGCGTGGGAGCTGGGATGCCTGAGCTCAAACCCTCCCTCTCAAAGTATGTGGCTTAAAAAAAACTCAGCAAAGATGCTGGCTGTCAGCTAATTCTGCTGGATTTTGGCTGCCCAGCAGCAGCTGGGGCTGGGACCTTAATCCCCCTCTGAGCCCTTTTTGCTTTACAGCTCCCTGTGAGGCTGAAGGTCCCTGCTGGGGTTATTTCTTTCTTGGGACTCGTCCTGCAGCATCCTCCCCCTTCTCCCAGCAGATCCTCACAAACAGGGAACTCCGGTTGTGCAAGCCCTGGTGACTCAGTGAGCTCACGAGGAATCAAGTGACTTTGCAGGATGACATAAGCAAAAATCAAAAAGCATCTTCCCTCCGTGGCTGGGAAGCAGCAAATCCAGCTCTGGGTGAGCAGAAAGCTGCTGAAGGCAGAGCCCCACAGGGAGCCAATGCCAGGCATATCATTTGCTCCTGGCAGGATCATGAGGAATGGCCTCAAGTTGTGCCAGGGGAGGTTCAGTTTGGAAATGAGGAGACATTTCTGCTCAGAAACAGCAGTCAGGCGTTGGGATGGGTTGCCCAGGGAGGTGGTGGAGTCACCGTCCCTGGGGGTGTTCAAGGAGAGGTTGGACATGGTGCTTGGGGACATGGTTCAGTGGTTTCATTGGTGGTAGGGGGATGGTTGGACAAGATCATCTTGGAGGGCTTTTCCAACCTTAATGATTCTGGGATTCTGTGTTTCTGTGTCCCTCTGCACAGCTCTGGCTATGGGCAGAGGGAAGGATGAAGGTAGAAATCACTCCAGGCCTCTGCTCCTGGTGCTTTCCAGCTGCTGCCAGGACTTTGATTTGGGCACACTTAGTCCTTGGCAAAGCTCATCTAAATTAAAAATTAATAGTTTTTGTTTGTTTGTTTGTTTGTTTGTTTGTTTGTTTTTCGTTTTGTATTAAAATATGGAAAATATTCCTTTGCTTCATCATCTCCTTTTGGCATCTCCCCTCCTTTGACTTTAAGCAAGCACGACCATCAGCGAGCCTTTGTGCTTAGCAGTCCGGGATGGATTTTGGTGTGAGTTTTAAATCCACGGGAACTGCTTTCCACTTTTCTGGAGGGGCTGCTGCCCCAGCTTTTTGGGGAAAAAGCACTCTTTGCTCCTGTGGGCTGGGGCTTCAGCAGGTGATAGGATCCCAGATTGACCACGATGTCCCTCTTGACACCTGCCCTCCAGGGCACCTTTCCCATGTGCTCTCTGCCCACGGGTCAGGAGGGCTGAAACCCTTTGGGGCAGACACTGTGCTTTCATTTCCCTTTGTGGGACCTGCCTGCCTTTTTTCTTACTCACACCCTACCCCGATCCCCAGAAAACCCAGGAGAGGTGGTTTTAGTGTGAGCCAGATGTCAGCTGCTTTCCCCCTGTGCCTCTTCCTGACCTCCTCCCTCCAGCACTTGCTGAGCTTGCGCTTTGAAATCTCCGCCCGTCTGTCCCGGCTGGTGACGGATGCAATCTCTGTCCGTCTGTCCCAGCTTGTGACGGGAAGCGAGAGCCAGCTTCCCCTCCTCATCCTCCTGCGGTCAGCCCCTGCTCAGCTGGTGGGCTTGCACAAGAGGCAACGGGGAAGGGGCTGCTCTCGTGCCTAACAGAAACCTCCAGCTGGCCCAGGAGGAGGAAATCAACTGCAGAGAAGAAGTGAGAGAGCAGCTGAGGCACTGACACGCGCTGTGACAATTTGCATGCGGAGAGTTTTGCTGTGGGTGCTTCAGACACGAACATTGGGATGGATAAAGCAAAACCCCCTCCCGTGTCCTTTGCTCTCCTGCAGCATCGGCACTCCGGTGTCCTCCATCAAGAGCAGCTCTGCGTGTTCCCCCTCTTACTTTGGGGGAACTAAAATTTAATAATTTTAATAATTTTGCCTCTCTCTGCAGGCTCAGAGGTTGGCCACAACCAAGACAAGACCCTGAGCTAGGTGGGCACCTGGTTGATGGGCTTGTTCCTATCACAGAATCATAGAATTGCAGAATGGTTTGGGTTGGAAGGGAACTTAGAAGTCATCTAAGGAATTTTTAATTTTAATTTATTTAGAAAAAAAAAAAATGTGCAGATGCTGATGGGGATGTTCCCAAGGGTGGAAGGAAGGCTCTGCGGGAACATCCATCCCAGCAGCATCTCGCTGGGGACCTCAGGGTTTGCAGGATGAGGCCAGACCCGAAGGGAAAGCAAACTGCTGGAGGCCGGGCTGGGTTTTGGTGCCACCTCGTGGTCCGGGAAGGTTTTATAAAGTGCAGGAGGAATTTGTGCAGAAAACTACAGAAAAAAAAAGTGCTGGAGGGCATCACAAAAAGGCTCATCTTGGGACAGGTCTCATCGCTGGGGGATGATTGCTGTCATCCCAAACCAGGGATGCTTGGGAATGGCTCCCCTAGGGAGGTGGGACAATCAGCTGCTTCTCATCCCATCTCCTGGATGGGATGGAGCCGCAGGATCCTTCTCTGGCTCTCCAGGAGGGATCGGACCAAGTCCCAGCTCTCTTGGTGTCACGGCTTCTAGCAAGGATTGACCCCAGAAGAAATTGGTGGGAGCATCTCCAGTGCCCGCTGGCTGCTAAGCAAGGAGCCCTGCTTCAGTGCAGCACAGAAAGGAGAAAAAAATAAATAAAACACACCAGAAAATAAATAAATAAATAAATAAATAAATAAACATGCCAGGGACATGTGCATCAGGAGTGAATAGGAAGCTGAGCACCATAAAATTTCCATGGCAGGAGGACTGAACCCTTGCTCCAGCCCATCTCCGACTGATCCTGGAAATCTCCGGCTGGAAACAAGGACGGTGAAGGTTTGGGAGGCCTCGTGCACGATGAGCCCAGCTGGCTGTGCACACAAAGGTGCTGAAAAGAAAAGATAGGCAGAGCAGGAGCTAATGAGGAGCGGCTTTATGGTGGGATTAGCCAGGGGAGCCAGGAGAGCATCTCGTGACAGCCACAGTGGCACAGGGGAAGCAGGCAGCTGTGGGTTCATCCCCAAGGTCTCACCGTCCCCACTGCTTCCCAAAGCGCTTCCCAGCCAAATATCTGAAAAATTCAGCAGGAGGAGGGCAGCAGGTTCGGCTTGGAAAGAGCAGACGGAGAAGGTGAACGTGTTTTGTGCTAATTGCAGTAGAATGAGATGCGCGTGTTTAAAGCGGGGCTTCAGGGTAGAATGACTCTGGACTGGGGTTTTGGAGAAGTCTTGTTTTTTGAGGAGGAAAGTCATAAATTGGGGTGTTTCCTAGATGATTAGGCAGCAATTCAGCTAGACTGAAATGGGTTGTTAGCCGTAGGCTGCTGGAACTGGACCAGCAATGTGCATGGTGGACAGGGCCTGTGGCACTTTGGCCCCATGTGTCCTCCAAGAGCCTGTAGGCCTCACCTGAGGGGCAAGTGGTGGCCACATTTCACAGGCCTGAGTCTTTCCAGCGTCAAGTGAGGTCCTAACCCTGAACCCACACCCACCCAAGGGACAAACACTAAAAAAGTGGGGATCTTCTTCTGGGAATGGCTATGTCAGGGCCTGGCACTCCTAATGTCACCCCCATGGCTTGGAGCATCTTCCTCCCTGCCAGGATGTCAAGCGGCACGTCCCAAGGTGAGCAGAGCCTGAATAAAAATTATCCCCGCTCCGAAAAGGAAAGCCAGGAGTGGTATTTATGCACAAACATCTCAGGCGAACAGCCCTGACCTCCTCCTCCTCCTTCCGCCCCGAAGGCGGCTTATTTTTGCTTATCTCCGCATCCCTGGGGTAGCCCTCTGAGGAGATATTCTGGGAGCCCGCTGCTGTTGTTTCCTCCGAGCACCATTTCCTCCAGCACAGGGTCAGCACCACCACCCTCTCCTGATGGGGGCCCCATGGGTCGCCCGTGGTCCCCGGGGAGGCCTGGGGCTATCTCCAGGAGGACACCAGCCGGAGGAGGAAGCCAATGGTCCAGGAGCCGGGGTGGCTGGAGGGTGCTGGGCGAGGAAGCAAAACAGGAAGGTGGTGGGAGATAAGGAGAAGAAGCTGGAAGAGGAATATAGGGGAATAATGGAGGGAAGGATGGAAATGAAAATTCTCTTACTGCAGACAGAAAGGAAGCCACCAAGACAAAGGCAGAGCAAAAAAAGTCTTTTGTCTTGCTCAAAAGTCTCATGGACTTTTGGGAGTGTGTTAGGTCTAAGACCTCTTTGCTCCAGGAGAGCTTGTTGGGAATGGTCTCTGGCATGTACTGATGGACAAATTGTGACCAAGGTTTGTTTGGCGCAGTGGTCCTTGGTTGGGGTTGAAAGCAAGGGCCTAGTACTTAAAGAGTGTGGACAAAGATGCTTGTAGTTGTAGATCACTTTAGATCATCCCTCCTTAGTAGGAGGGATGATCTGGGTCCCATCTCTCTGGAGCAGGAAGGGACATCATGTGGTGACAACATCTGGGTGATGGTAGCCAAACTACATCTCCAGGCATGGCTTGGGAAGCTTTGAGAAGAGGGGATGAGGGAAGAGGTTGGCCACAGCTCTCCAGTTCGTATCAGCAGAGCGGGTTGGACCATAGACACGTGGTGGTGAGCCCAGTCAAACCATGTGGAGAAGGCAATCATGGAATCCCAGGGGCTGTGTGATCCCTCAACATCCATCTGTGTGTCTCCAAGCAAGCTCTAGGGATGGTACTTTGTGTACTCATCTGATGGGTCTGCAGGTGGACATGACATGGAAAACGGAGATGAGGTGGTGGTGCCTGGGATGGGAAAGGACAAACTCCCCTGTGGCCTCCTAGGTGGTAAAATACCTCCAAAAAGAAAATCTGGGAAACTCAACACATGAAAACAGGCCTCCAGCTTGCCTTAACAGAGACACTGTGGGTCTAGGAGAGAGCTCAGGAACCCAGCAGCCACCAGCTCCACCACGGACATTTCCACACCCCCATTTCCCTACCTGCAAGGCTGGAGACCCTGAAGTTGAAGACACGAGAGATGGAGGGAGAAGAGAAGACAGGGAGGAGGGGATGGCGGTGGCCAGGCTGTCCTCCTCAGGGCACCGAGGAGGTTAGTTTTGTGAATGGAAATTTTACCGCTGCCTCCCAGCCTGGGGCTGTTATCTCTGCTGCTATTTCGGTCAGCAAGAAGCAGGCAAGCCCGTGCCAGACCCGGGAGAGAAGCAACGGGAGAGGGTGGGGAGCTGGGGCAGCTCCTCTGTCGTCAGAAGACGCCGGCTCCAGCCAAGGTCTGCGCCGGTCCGGAGATAGCGGGGTCCTCTGGAGACGGGGCTCGCCCCGGGGTCGTTGAGCTAAGTGGGATCGGTGACAGGCTGCACATTAGGGCTGATAAGGGCCGGATAACGGTAGCCAAACTCCCACGGCCTCTGCAGGCATGGCCGGGCACCCTGGGGACCGGTGGAGGGGGAGGCTCAGGGTGACAGGGTGACCCCCTCCCCGATCCGTCTTCTCCTGGAACGGCGATTGGGAGGGAAATGGGTTCACATCCCCCCCCAGAGAAGGAAAGTTGCATGGTAAGAGGTGAAAATTGCTTTTTTTAGATATATTTTTTTTCCTTTTCTGAATGGTATATGAAGGGATTTTCATGCTGACTGCTTCCTCTTTTCAATTTACTCAAGGGAAAAAAAAAGTACATCAGGGTCACGGGATGTTTCTGTGGGAGGCTTTATCATGTCGAAAATCACTTTCTTTGGTAGAGATGTCTCTAACGGTCCACATCCCAAGATAGCCTTTACTATTGCAAAGATATTATAAAGATAATATTTTAAGAGATTACTTATAAATCTAATAAATGGCATTTGACACTCCGGGGCACCTTCTTCAGATTATCCTGGGAGCAGGGGGAAGATCAGAGACACCCTGCGGTCCCATCCAGCCTCAATTCCTCCATCTCTTCATGAGCGTTCAGCTTTGGGACACTGCTTTATCTTTGCCTTAATCTTACAGACGGGTAAACTGAGGCAGATAAGCTTGCAGAGCCGTTCAGAGGAACGAAGTCCAGCCCTCCATGTGACGGATCACATGCCATAGGAACAGCTCTACCCCACAGCTGAACAAGCGCCAAAACCTAAAATAAGATTATTTCCCACAGCGAGCCTTTATTGACCTCCTGTTTGCCACGGCATGGGCTCAGGAAGGCTCAGCCCGGGACAAAACCCAAATTTTTGATTCAGCAGTTGTGTCGCTGCCTGGAGGATGCATCAGCAGCGGGGATGTTTTGGCATCAGCATCGGATGCACCATGAAAGTTAGACGTTACCGGTAATTGTTTTACTCCGTGTGTTTGTTGGTTTTGGGGCTAAAGGAGTCCGAAGTCCCAGGATTTCTCAAGGAGGATGAGCCACTGGGGGAAGCCTCCTGTCCTCATACAAGTGATTTCTAGAGGTGATCATGGAGAGGGGAAGAAAGAAAAGGAACGGAGGAAGGCAATGCGTGCTCAGCTCCCCGGTGTTTAACCTCGTGAGTGCAAAGGACAGTCCCAGGAACAGGGAGCAGGGCTGCCAGCTCGGTAACATGACCCCTGGGGACAGCTTGCTGCTCACACAGACCCACGTGCACGGCAGGTTGAAAAATATCGGCTTTTCAAGGAAAAAGGATTGCTTTTTTTGCTCCCTGTGAGAGCTGCCTTCTTTCTGTTCCTGATGACGTGTGGCGGTTTGTCCTCTGACTCTGGGCCCATATATTTCTGTCCTTTATGTTACCCAGTCCGTGGCCCTTACCCCAATACATGTCCTTATGTACAGAAAGGAGAGAATTTCCAGGAAAACGAGTCACCCACCCTACCAGGGGTATTTATTGGTTTTATAACATCACTTTCCTTTACAAACCTTGAGCGAAGGATGACCACTGCCCTCATGAGAGCATTGCTGTCGCAGGCTCGTCCATGCAAAACCCACTCACCTCTCCCACGCTCGAGGCATGGGATGTGTCCCCACACGTTTTTGGGTTTGGTTTTGTCTCGGGGTGGCCCAGCTGGTGGCCTGGGGGCCAGCAGTGGCTAGTGGGATGGCTCTGCCTGGCCGCAGAAGGCATTTTGGTGGTTTTCACTACGTGACTCCAGTGGTGCTGATCCTGATCGGAGGCTGACAATGAACTGAAGGGCTGTGTTGGATTTCTGCTCCCTCTGTCTTCTCCAAAGACCGAGAAAGCCAAGTTTCAGGCTCTGCTATGCAAAATAGGGTTGTGGGCCAAACCCCTGCCTTTCCAGGGCTTGACAAAACTCATCACTGCAAAAACACAACGAGATGCAGTTGACAACTGGGATCGTGCCCCATGGGGTCTTGCTAGCCCAGCCAATATCCTTGCAGAAGGTCTTTCCATTTATACGTATACACATATGAATCAAGAGATGTTTTCAGGAAGCAGGTTTTAGGATCTTACCCAAAGAATTTAGGATGGTCCCCAGTGGGCCAGCAGGCTGCAGACCCAACACAACCCCGTTGTGAATGCATTCCTCCAAAAAAAATATATTTTTTTCTCTCTTTTCATAGGGCACGGGGCGGGCAAAGGACAGGGTGGTTGGGCTTTGATACCTATGCACCTCCCCTCCATCCCCCCCTCTCCTGCCCATCACCTTCCCCAGCCCCTTCCCCTCTTCTCTGCCCCGATAAGCCGGCATGTGGAAAAAATGTTGTCACACATATCTCACTTCCAGCGCGTGGGAGTCGCTGATAGCGGCCCCAAGATCTGGACAATAACGCCTCCTGACAGCTCCCACGTCCCTCCCAGGCCTGGGGAAGGGTCCTGCTCCACGCGCTGAACGTGTTGGGTTGGAGAAATGATGCTTGGCGGAGCCTGACGGCCCAATTCCACGGGGAAATGAGGATGGAGAGGAGAACGGGCTCACCCAGCACCCCTCCTCAGGGGGCTTTCCCCAAATTCAGCCCTGAATTTCCTCCCTGGATGTCTCCAGGCCAAGAGCCACAAGCTTTTGTCAGTGTTTGTCTTGGAGCCCTCCACCGGCTCCATCCCTGCAGAGAGCTGAGCTGCGTGGCCCCCGCGCTGTTGTTCCTCCACGTGGCGCTCCCGAAAGAGCCCCGAGCGCCTCGCCAAGGGGATGAAGTCATTTATTTACGCCCGGACAATGTGCTCCGGTACATCAGCGCCGACCAACTGACACGCTTCTGCTCTGACGTGGACGGGGAGAGGTCAGCATGGAGCAGCCTCCGTGGCCGTACCCTTTCCCACAGGGGCATCCAAATAGGACATCCATTTATTCATGGTGCCAGGGCATTGCTGGCAGAAACACGGGGTTCGTTTAACAGGCACAAGGGTCTCCGTGGTGCCTGGCTCCCTTCTCCTTCTGCAGAGATAAGAAAACCTTTGTAAGACGTGATTCTCGGTGCGCAGAGCCCGTTCCTTTGGCTCTCAGGGGAGCCAGGGAGGCCAGAGGAAGCGGAGAGCTTTGTGCTGTAGGTATTTGGATGGGAATGAGAAGGGCCCTCCCAAAACAGCAGCCAGGTGTGGAGGAGCCCCTGAAGGTGACCCAGATTTTAAAGCATTCCTGGTTTTTCAATCTCTATTTGATTTTTACTCAAAATGCTGTTCTTTTCTTCCAAGTGGAAAAAACATTTTTTTTATATATTTCCATCTGGAAAGAGAATGCTTCAATGTTTACATTTATGCCCTACACCTTCAGTGCTGTCACCCCAAATCCCCTTTTTCCTCTGGAGTGGGGTCTCCAAAGTGGGTCATGCACCAGACAACCCGATGGGGTGCAGGAGGAAAATATTTTCACACCATCAATAAATAAAATACTATAATAAAATTAATGCTTATTTAATCTCATCCTTTTTTTTTTTTTTTTAAATTTCTATTTTCGTGTGTTTGACAATGTATACAATATAGTAGTGCAGTATTATATGAGTATCATATGTAGATAATTTCAAAAATACAGGAAAATATGTATATTGGAGGTTCATGATCAAAAATATTTTACCGATGGGGTGCACAGTCAAAAATATTTGGAGATTATGGCTCTGTGGGGCTTTCTCTCTCCTAAAGCTGCAGCTCCCATGTCCCAAAGGCCATTCCCTCCCTACAGCAGGAGAGAGGAAGCATAATCTGATTTTGGGTGTATCTAAAAATATTTATTTATTTTGTGATCAAACCCCAGTTATGGGGGAAAGAAGAAGAATGAGTGGCGTTAGGGTTTATTGCTCTTTTATGGAGAATGAAGGTTTTCTGTCCCAAGATGGAAAATAATTGCCAAAATCCTTCGGAGAAAGACCCGATGCTCCATCTCAAAACCATGGTAAATCTGCAGCCAGCCCTGCCTGAGAGCACCTCCAGCCCCACTTTGGGCAGGGGATGGATGCCACCACCTCCCTCCCTCCCTCCACCCACAGGGCTTGGCTTCCTCTTTTGCTGCCAAGGGATCCTCCTCAACCCTTCACAGACAGTCCTGTAGGATTTTCCAGGTTGCCTGCCCGGAACGGGAGAGGTTAAACCCAGCAGGAGCAGGGCGACAGGGCACAGAGGCGCTTTCTCCTGGGCTGATAGCTGGCTCCATCCTGCTAGGAGCAATTTCCCGGCGTGGCTCCTGCCAGGAGCTGCTTCCAGCAGCGAGCACACACGCTCACACACACACTCACACACACTCACACGCGTCCATCCGGGCGTGCTTCTCACAAGGCTCACATTCAGGCTCTCCCCACCTCCTTCCCCTCGCAGCCCCGGCAATCGGCGCGCTCCCCGAGATCTCATCCTGCCCCTGATAAGGCGCGGAGGCGGCTGCGAAAGGAAGGCTCCCAGTTGCTCCCGGCGCCAGGCTGGGTAGAGACAGACGCGTCCAACCCTCACCTCCTCCTGCAGCTCCTTCTCCTCCTCAGAGCCAAAAACAAATGACATCAGCCCCTCGTGTGTGTGTGTGTGTGTCCCCAGCATCCCTATCAGCCCCACGGAGAGGCGAGCGCATGGAGGAGCGAGGAGGAAGAGGGAGGGGAAAGAAGGGAAGAAGAAGGCTGGAGCTGGAAGTTGGTTACTTTGGCAAGCGGACAGAGTTCTGCAAAACCTCACCGGCCAGACTTCAAAAAGGTGGAAAACTGGAGGCTCGCTGCCGGCAGGTCCCGTTATCGGGGGGAGCCTTATCTGCTCGATGGGGCTGATGGCTCGAGCCAGCCGGGGCGGCTGCTAACCTCTGGCTGAGCTTTCCAAGGTCCCTGGGGAGCTGCACCGTCACTCAGAGGAGAGCCGAGGAATCCAGGAGATGGGACCACGTGAAGGCACTGGTTGTGCAGCCCATGGGGTGAGAGGAGCCAGGCTGGGGATAATGCCAGCCCCAGAGCTCGTGGGCACCCCGTCCCTCCTTGATCTAATTTGTGGTGGTAGGAGGAGCTCAGCTCCGGAGCTTCAAGCACAGAGTTTAGACAGAGGGGAAGGTGGGGCAGATCTCCTCGGGTGTCAACCAGTGCAGCCCAGTCACTGGTTTCACTGGTTTCCCTCTTTTTCCTCCAGGACAGGACTGGTCCCTTGGGCTAGCAGAGTGTGTTGGCCACTCTGGGTCTCTGCTGTGGGTAGCTGGGGGTCTCACAGCCCCAGGAAGCTTTGGGGTGGAATTTTGGCCACCCTCTGATACCACACGTGGTGTTTCCAGGAGATGAACCTTCCAGCTTCTCTCTCAAGGAGACTTTTTTTATCCCTTGGTGCCCTCTCCCCTCACACCTCCAAGATATTTCAGTTCTGGCTCACCATTTGTCACCTCTTCAAGATGATGCCCTGCTCCTGGGAGTCCTGCTCCAGGGCACATCGTGGAGGGCAGTTCCCCATCTTTCTTAGCACCATCGTTGCCCACATTTACTCCCTGGTGTAAAGGGACCTGGCCGTGACCCATTCCCAGTCATACTTCCACCCACCAGCTCAGCATATGCAGGAGAAGAGGCAGCCCCTCATGGTGTTAGGGTATGGTCTGAAATAAATAAAAAAATAAATATTATTTAACCTCCTAAACCTCCCTGCATGGATGAGGGGTAGGTAAAACTCTGCCCATGCTTCCAGCCTGTGCCAGATGTCCCTCCTACAGACACAACCCTGCCACAGCATGGACCCAAAGCTCCTCCACCAGGCAGTTTCCACACAGACATCATGTTTCAGGGTGGAAAAGGGAAAGTTTAGCCTCCTTTTTCCTTCCTTTCCTGCTGCAGAAGCAAAGGAGCAGGCTGGGGCTGCCACCTGCTGTCCCCAAGCCTGTCCTAACCCTGCCTGTGCTCTCTGGCTGAGGTTGTGGTTTGCTGGCCCCAAGGTGTCCTTCTCCTCCTTCACAAACATATCCATAATTTTTCCTCTGGCAGGAGTTTTTTCCATTTTTTTTTTCCTTCTAAGCAAACAGCATTTCTTCAGCTATTTAATTACTCCCCAAAATAAGTTCTGTGTAAACGTCAGCATCCAGAGCCCATCCAAAGCCCTGCTGGTGGCTTTGGTCCTCTTCTTCTGCCCCCCATGCGCACAACCAGGCTCAGCCTGGAATATCTCCTGCCAGCAAATGAAGGCAAAAATCTCCTTTTGGTTTTATCATCAGCCTCACGGGGAGTTTCTCTTTTGATGTAAACCTCCCCCTGTGCAAGCAAGATCTCACGTGAGAGCTGCTCCATGCAGAAACAGAATCGTGGAGTCCCAAAATCGTGGATAGAGCAGGGACAGTGATGGATAAAGGCTGTGACAGGCAGTGACACAGGCCAGGAGAGAGCTGGAAGGACACCGACCTCCCTGTGGTGCTCTGCCACATCTGCAGACGCTTTGGCCACCCCGGTGCACCCCATCCTCCCTCCGTGCCTCCGTGTGGGCAAAGGAACCAAACCCCAAGCATGGGGCAGGACAATCCATCTCAGAGGGAATGCAGCTGCACTCCAGACACAGGAGGATACAGAAAACCAAGAGGTTTATTGGTGACGGACCAACCCAGCTGTGGATGTGGATGGCAGTGTCTGAGAGCAGCTCCTAGGGACAGTTTTGGTGCCCAGGGTGCCGGATTTGTCCCATTGTGGTCGCCCTCACCTGCAGCAGCGCAGGCGGCCGTTGCTGCAGCTCCCAGCCCAGCGCTCCATGTGGAAGCAGAGCCTCCGGCAGTGCCCGTGGTCGTGCCTGCACTGCTGGCTGTCCGAAAGGCCTCGTGCTGCAGGGGAAAAAGGGATGGAGACACACTTAGGGGACCTGGGAACCCACCCGGAGCCCCCCGTGGTGTCACTGGATGTGCAACCAGAGCTTCAGGCTGGAACCAGGAGCTTCAGCGGGCTTTGTGGTGAAGGGCATGAAGCAACAGCTCCTTACACCAAGCCCAACAAGTTTCCTTACAACCAGCCTAGGAGAGATGCCCAGCTTTGGGTTGGCTGAGTCAGGGGAGGCAGATCCCTTGGGCAACACCAACTGTCAGAGATGTGGCTTTTGGAGAAGGTGTTTTATCCACTGGATTTATTATTAATAATTAATTTAATAATAATAATAATAATAATAATAATAATAATATTTTTGTTAAGTTTCCCTGTTTTGATAAAGAAGGTGTATGCTGCTTTTCTTTACATGTAGCAGGAATACCAAGTTTGGGGTTTCTGGAGGGATGCACCAGTGGGTACTCACCACCAGAGTGGGCAAGCCCTTCCCTCTCCTCCTTTTATCCCTAGGACTTAAGTTAATTAAATGAGACTGTAAATACACAGAGAAAGGAAATCTCTTTGGTTATCAGGGTTGATTTCCACAGCAGCTACACCATCATAGTCCTAGTGATACCATAGTGACCTTAAAGCCCAGCCAAAGCTTCTCTATTCAAACAGAATCCCATAAGAAAAAAAAAAAAAAAAAAAAAAAAACACCTTTCAGATTTTCCCCCCACTTCCCTTCCCCAGAAAGATGCCTTTTGGTTTCATGCAGTTCTCGTTGTTTTGTAGGGGATCAGGCTTGTGCCCTGGTCAGGAGCAGGCTCCTGGCTTAGGCTCAGCGTTTTGGGGAAGGTTGTGAGAGGATGGAGAGGAGAAGACATACAGCTCATGAGCCTGGGACACCTGCATCCAGGAACCTCATGGAGATAATTTCAGAAGAAATTTGTTCCCAGGAAACAAGAGTCAGGCTTGACTTGGTTAGATTTGAGGACTCTGTCCTGCATTTTTCTACCTGGGGGTAGGGAGCTGCCTTTCCTCTCCTCTCCGTCCTACAGAAACCCCTGCAAATATTTCGTCCTTACCGGGAACATCCTGGAGGAGGAGAATGACAATGATTGCAAAGAGCAGCTGGAGGATCCGCATGGCTGAGTGTGGGTGGGTGTTCCCTGCGGGGAGGAGTGAAGGGCTGTAAAGAGATAAAGAAGAGGGAAAATCCTGGATTTATAGGGTTGGGGGGGGTTGTGTAACGCTGCTGGACAGGAGGGAACTTTGTCAATCTCATGTGCATTTCAACACGACAGCAAACAGTGGCACTGGGATGTGCCCACTCCTGGACACATCATTTTACAGGGGGGGAAGAAGAAGGAAAAAAAATAAAAATAAAAGCAGAGTTTTGTCAGCAAACTGCACCGAGCACTGGGGAGGCTGCTTCTGGTTGCTGCTGGAGCCAGGATGTTGGGGCTGACCAAGTCTGGCTCTTCTTGTGTTTGTAGGCTCGAGCATGAGATGTTGAAAACCCGTCCAAGCGTGTGCAGGATCAAAGTTTTCTGCCTTTTTATTTATTTATTTATGTTATATTAATTTCCAGCTCCCAGTCTCTGTGCTTAGCACGGACAAAATCAAGCGTGAAAAAAATCCAGAGTCTTCTCCCCAGCACTCCCCGACAACACAAGGTTGGCTTGAAAAGCATGGGATCCTTAAAAATCAAAGGTCTGTTTGCATTTCCCAACTTCTGGGCTGCAAAGCGATCATTGGCAAAGCTTTTGTTTACAGCTGTCAAGAAAAAATAGCAATTCCACATATTCCTTTCTGGATTCATTAAATAGGAAAGCTGGAGCATGTCTCTGCAATGAACAGGAGCAGGAGCTTTAGGAAAAGCTTGCGTATCACAGCTCACCCTTGGTTTGTTTTAGTTCTCCAGGTCAGTTCCAGGAAATCAGTAGACGTGGGACCTGAATTTCAACTTCAGCAAACAACACAAAGCAAACAGCAAGCAGAAATCTCCCATAAGCAGGAAAAAAAATAAATTAAAAAAAAATAATGGAAGAGGGAATAGAAACCCTATCAAAGATTCTTTTTACAGCAGGGAAGCAGCAGAGGGCATCACCAACACCTCTGCAAGTCACTTTGATGGCCTTTTATTTGCAGGCTGGGTGCAAGTTGTAAAACTTGGGCTGCTTTAATGGAACGAGGATCACCTTCACCAAACAGTGCAGTGAGGGGCTCTTTGCCAGATGGACTTTGGGTGATGGGACACCGAGCATTTAAACAGCATGCCATGCAAACTGGCCACGTGCAACCTGGAGCGAGATTTGGGAAAAGAGAAAAGGGCCCTGGAAGTCTTGGAGTGCGTTGCATGTCTGGTGGCACTGTTTGGTGCCTGCAGCTGCGGCGAGTGTGCTTTGGGAAAAGGAGCCAAACCCAGCCAATACCAAAAAAAAGCAGATTTCCCCCAGAAACCGGGGGCAGGAAGTCTCTATCCCCCAGGAGATGGCTGTGACAGCAGCTGGGCTTGCTCCCTCCTGCATGGTCCTCATGCCGTGCTGGCCTCAGCTCCTGCTGAGCCTCTCCCACCCTTCCTTGCTCCCAAACCTGCCACCAGATGGTTCTTTTCAGAGCCCAAAGCACACAAAAGAAGGTTTGTGCTCAGTGACATAACTTTGCTCCTGGGTGCCTCAGGGGTTTCAGGGCTGGGGAGGAGTCAGGTCAATCCCTATCCTCCCCAGGGCCCCATATGGGAGGGGAGTCCCCACTGTCAGGACCTGGGCTTTAAAATTCAGCCTGGGGTATATTTACTGCAGTGTGGATGACCACAGCAGCGAATATGTAAACACTTCAGCAATTGGAAGGTCTCCTCTAGCCCCAGACCATTTTATGATGCCTCCGCATCCCCCTTTTTCACCAAACCCTGAGAAAAGGCACAGGTACAGCACCTCAGAAGAAGTGACCATGGGCCAGTTTGGGATCAGATGTGTCCCACATTTGGGATCAGATGTGTCCCACAAACTCTCCATGGCCATGGGCAGGTTTTCATTACAGACCACAATGGCATCCATCCCTCACCAACCCAAGGGGCCATCCACCTCCTGCCATAATAGCAACCACGAGGGAAGGCCTCAGTACAGAAAGAATAAATCTGTGTCCTTTATCTGAACTTTTCTCCCACTCTCAGACTTTTCTTCTCTTGGAAGAGAAGTTTTATGTGGTAAATTATCATACCATCATAAAATCAATTGCTAAATTTGACTCCCCCTGGTTTCCCCATAGGTATTGTTCATGACTAGGCCTTGAGCAGTAAGGCCTCAGCACGTTTCAGGAGACTTTCCTGATCCTCTAGATTTCCCCTAAACCACCCAATGCCAGTCCTACTTTGCAAGAGATGTTTCTGGTATGAACCTCTGCCCAGAGGGCTGTCATGCCTCCTGTCTACCATGAGCCTGCTGGAGATTTTGGGAGGATAATGCCAAAATCCTATGCATGCTCAGGCCTACAGACACATAGTCACACAAAACATAGAATCACACAATGGTTTGGGTTGGGAGAGACCTTAAAGACCATCTAGTCCTAACTGCTTGCCTTGTGCAGGGATGCCACCCACCAGATCAGGTTGCCCAGGGCTTCATCCAGCCTGGTCTTGAGCACCTCCAGGGATGGAGCATCCACTGCCTACATCCAGAACGTGTAGGTCTTCAAGTCCATGAGATGTCTAAGCACTCAGTGAAGTTCGTGGAGATCTAGCATTTATTCCAGTTGTCTAAACACAGACACCTATTACCATTTGGGATGCTCTGGGGCACCTGAGACATCTGTACTGAGCTGTTAGGTGTCCCCAGGACGTGTATGAAGTATGAAGTATGAAGCTCACCTTGCCCACACAGAACTCTGTTTGACCATCATCCTGGTGCTGATTACGCAGCTCTGTTTAACAATGGCATTTTAAGAGCACGATTTCTTTTCTCTGCCAAACAAACACTGCCGTGTTGCCTGGGAACCGCAAACAAATTCCAGTGAGTGGGACTTTCAGGCCACATGCTGGGAGCTAACATCTCCAGTTATTCAGGAGGCTCATGCTGGTCAACACACAAGGCATGAGGGTAGGGCTCTACCCTGGCTGTCCACGTGGCTGCAGGTGCCTTTTTCTTCCCTTGGGTTACAGGGTTACATCCTGAGGGTAATCAGTTGGAGCAGCATCCTCTACACTCACACCAAAGCATCTCATACTGCTGCTTAAGCAGCTCCTCATGGGCTGGCGACTGGGTTGTGCTGTTCTCCACACTCCATCTCTGTCCTTGGTCCTTCCTCTCTCCTGCCTGCGTGTCCATTCATCTTATTTATCATGCAGAAATGACAACAATTTATTTATTTATTTGATATATATATATATTTTTGGATCATCTCTGGCCAGAACAGTGAGCAAAGGAGCACACAACTGGGGGGAGAGTGGTATGGTGCCTTTTAGCAGCAGCTTGCATTTACTGTCATGTTACTGCCAGAGGTATAACGCTGCCTATAAGCTGCCTGAACACTTCCACCTTACCTTAATTGAAATTTGGCTGGATGATTGCTTCAAAACCTACTGGGGGCAGGCAGCCTAGCATCTGGCAGGGAGATTCACGGGATGAGCTGCATGAGCTCATCTGCTGCACTTTCTTAGGAAAACAGGCTATAAATATGGTGGCTAGCGGTCCCCAGATAAGAGGCGTGAACCACAAACTTTGTGGATGAAGCTGAGAAAGGAGCTGTTTGATTTGGAAGGGCGCCTTGATTTAAACACCCCTGCCTGTGCCGTGTCCACACAGCAGCGCGTGCTGGCGAGCCGGGCTGGAGTCAGTCGGATCTGGGGAGGAATTTGGCTCCGGGCTCAGCCCCATCTGTTTTCAGTGGCGGTTCCCAAGCCAACAGCCAGTGCTCCTGTCCGTCTGTCCAGCCACTGGGAGCACCGGGGGAGCTCTGGCGTCTCCCCGCGTGCCTCGGTGTCCCGGACCGTGCTCTGCCTGCGCTGGGATGACCCCAGGAGAGGATCCGGGCTGCTCGTGAATTCATCCTCAAGTCAGATGAATTCATCGTTGGACCTCTAGCGATGGGTCCTGACCCTGGTGAAGTCAATGGGAATTTTCCTGTTTGATTCATCCCAGCAAGAATTTCATCTCCCAGGGAGGACTTTTCCCTGGCTCTGGCCAATGCCTCAGCTAACTGGCATAGCTCCCTCATTACATCATTGTTTGCTTGCTTTCACAGAACTGATCGACCCAGAGGGAAGTGATTTTACCTGGAAGGAGAGACCAAAAGCAATCTGACAGAGAGGGGGATCAAAATTTCACGCCGCAAAAACACAGAAGGGCCAAGAGAGCAAATGGATTTTGGCTGATACTACTTACATGCAGAAAGCTGCATAAAATCTTTTTTTTTTTTTTTTTTTCCTTTTTCTTTCTTTCTTTTTTTTTTTTTAATGATTGCATCAGGTGCAAACATTCTAATTGCTTTGAGATGTTGCTGGGTGACTACAGACAGCACCTACCTATGCAGCAGGTTTTCTGACGTTGAGAGCAAGTTCCGAATGCAGCAAACGGCGGTGGGCAGGCTTTTGGTTGGAAGCAGAAACCGTGGTAGCGAACACAACGTAAGGTGTCCTTGGGCAAGCCAAGACCTACGGGAAGAACAGCATTCCCAGTTGTGCTGCAGGATCAGTCCATTTCCCATGGTCTTCCTCCTGCTGAAACCCCATGGACCCCTGTTAGGGGTCTGATACAAATACCCCAAAAGCACAAGACAGATTCTCCAAAATTTCTGAGAAGCCTCGTGGACCTCACAGGACTCCAAGGAAGGCCTTTGTACAATCAGAGAAAAAGATAGCTGTTGTTTCTGATCATATCCTGACCTTGATCATATCCTATCCCTTAGTGGGTAGCCTTCAGATGCCCCTTAGTTCTGGGACTGCTGTGCTTTAGGCTGGTCATGGAAGGGACAACAAGGTGCTTGTACCTACCCACCTGAGATGTACCTACACCTTACACAACACCCAGGGTTGGGATCTGGTCCAGTTACAAGGGACAGCAGATTTGCCCAGTTCCTTCCTTTTTTGAAAGCTTTACCCCAAGAAGGGGGAA